AATAAAGATTAGAATCTCAGCTTTCGGTGAAGAATCTGAGAATTATGACTTCGTCAGAGTTGACCCACACGCACAAAAGTCGTCGCTCGACTGCTCCCGTAATTGACATCCTCCTTCCGCCCTGCAGCCAATCCACATGCATGCATGGTTCTCTTTTGCAATGGGGACTTGGGAAGTCTCCAAGCTCGAAGAAGAGAAGGTATTCCCATGCTGTCCTCTAATCTTATCGAGCTCTCTTCTACACCACCCCATTTCACCCAAACAACGAGGGAAAGCATGGCAACAAGTTTGAAGAGGGTCGAACATCTTTTGCCCTGTGGCCAGAGACCTTGTGACCTTTTGCGTTGCCTTGATCCTCCACTGTTGCAGGAAAGAGCAGCTCTGCGACGTGGAACGCACTTGCATCCCTGTATGAACTCACGTCATTCTCACTTTGTCTTCTCTGATTTGGTATTGAATTGCCATCACGGCAACGGAGGATGACTGCATCTACAGCTAATGTAAAGGCATGGACATGGATGCTGAAAGTTGTGTGTTCTTTCTGCTGCATGACTTTATTCTCTGCCGCGAACACATGCCGGGTGTACTCCATGGCGTGTGACGTTGCGATCAATCTTTCCTCTCTCGCTGTGATCCATCCATCTTTACCCGGTTCTTGCGTTTAGAGGAACACGAAGGGACAGAGATTGTATGGCGAACGAGAAGCTCCATCAGTCCCAAGTCCATTAAGCAGTGGCTGCAAACGAGGATTGAGAGAGAGAGAGGATAAACGAAGAATTTAATTGATTCTGGACAAGCAATGAAGATTTCATATTCTAGCCCAAGTGAACGAAGGATTTGATGGATCGACAATGGCCTCCTTTAGGTGTTGGATTTCGGCAATTTTCTCGAAGTACATCATACGGACATCAACTTGAAAGGGAGAAAGCGAGCTACATATGTTCTGAAGGACACTTTGATCGATTCGTTATCACCAGCGACTATAGCTTGAAATCCTCATCAGTAAGTGTACAACAGCTACGATAGCTTCTGGTGTTCTGCTCCATGGATGAGGTGGTGAACCACACTCTTGCAGCTCGTATTCTTCCTGCAATCTGCTGCACCATAACGAAGAAATGATCAGTAAAATTACTTCCCTTGGAAGAGCACATCTGCTAATCCACTGAGCCGCTACGTTTAGAGCTTGAAATCTCAGTCGTCATCAGAAGTTGGGGTACGTCGTCGTGGTTCGAAGGATGAAAACGAAGTCATAAGCGAACACAAGGCTTTCGCGTTGCAGACGAAGGCATCCTTCCTCTCTTCCATTCGTCCTGATCTCCATCCATGGGGCGCGCTGTCCCAACCAAGGGGAAGGATCGCCTCGGCTGACCGGTGTCTCGGATGCGACAGGGCGTCCTACTGATCACTACATGTCAGGAATCAAAGATTACGTGTAAGATGTGGAAAGAAGGGTACGATGGTAATCTTAAGGGCAGTCATCAAACTATCATCCCCTTCCAACGGTGTGCTGTCACTGTCCCTGCAATTACTGGACCGAAGAGGCATGAGGGAGACCCCACTGCCTCCTGCTTCCAGAATCCTCATCATCAGCAGGTTCGCCTGCAATGGCGTTCTAAACATGGCCGACGATCTAATGTCCCAGCAGAAGCGAAGGAAGATCTAACATTTGGATGCGGTAAATCTTGAAGAGATGTTGCTGTCGGGACAGATATATAAGAAGTCAGCAAAACGGCAATCGTCACGGTTACGTTTGGTCGCGGTGACATTGTAGAGAGAGGGGGGGGGGGGGAGAAAAAGAAAAAGAAGGGGGGATGGATGGATGAACGGAGAGCAAGTAATCTGGCAGGCAACAACATGGCGGAGGGTGCGAAAAGGTGATGGCTCTTTTGGCCAAGCGTTTAAAGGTGCGGAACTGTCACAGTCTGCGCTCAAAAGGAGGGAGAGAGAGAGTGTGTGTGTGCGCGTGTAAGGTTTGCAATATTGAGGAAGGTTTTGCTCTTCTCATCTCTTCAACGGCGCACTGAGTAACACAAGGCTGTCGATGTTGTTGGGGTTGTGTCTTGGGAAATGGGTCGAGTGAGATAAGCAGGATCTTTAAATCTCTGGTGCATGTCTGCCTCTGCCTTCTCAGCTCCTCTCTCTCTCTCTCTCTCTCTCTCTCTCTCTCTGCTGCCTGACACTGGCATGGACAGGTTGCGTTCTTCTTTCGAATAATAGTCGCTGGCCCACCAGCGGCCGAAGGGCAGGAGCACTAACTCTGTCCATCTCCTCTTACCTCTCCTCCGAGTGAAACCCAAACCCTCTTTTCCCATCCCTGTCGTCCATGTCCTTGCTGCTTTTCCACGGGTTGTGCCTCTCCTCCTCTTGAGACAATGTGATGGCTTGACATCTAAACCCTCTGTCCCTGGGCTCTTGGCCCCCAATCTACTTCAGCTGTGTTCTTAATCGCCTGGCGAGATCCAAAGTGTAAGCAGCTCTTAGTCTGTCTATGATCCTTGGTTTCTTTTCAGATTTTTATTGTGAGGTCTTGTGGTGGTTGTTTAAGAGCTGAGCTGGTGGTGTTTGGTGATGGGAATTTGGGACTTGGATGGCCAAAGCAAGCAGCAGGAGGCCAAACATCAGCAGCGCCACCAGGAAATGCTACCAGTTCAGCAGCAGGAGAGGCAGGAGGAAGCTGAGAGAAACGAGATCTAGTAGCAGGCGTCAGCTCGTAAGATCCAAAGCTGGAACAGGGGCGCAAGAAGAAGGAGCAGGATCTGGATCCGCGGAGGAGTCTGTACCTTCCAATTCAGGCAGACGCAAACGAAAGCGAAAAAGAGGGCGAAGTAGCGCCGCAGGGGCTCCAAGAACAACAGCGAGAAGAGCAATCCCTGCGAGGCTTCCAGCTTCACCAAATCCACCACAACAGGAGCTCTTACTTCTCGTCTTCTTCTTCTTCAGCTGCCACGGCTTCCTCCTCCGAGTATGCCTGCCTTCCCGAAAGGATTGGGGAGGGTCACAGCCACAACAGCGCCGGCTACGACCAGCTCGCTCTCCTCCACCACCACCACCAGCAGCAGTTGCAGCGGCCGCAGCCCCGCTCGAGGCACGGCGGGGCGAGGGGCGGCGCGGTTGGGGAGATCGTGGAGGTCCAGGGCGGCCACATTGTGCGGTCCACCGGCCGCAAGGACCGTCACAGCAAGGTGTGCACCGCGAAGGGCCCCCGCGACCGCCGCGTCCGCCTCTCCGCCCACACCGCCATCCAGTTCTACGACGTCCAGGACCGCCTTGGCTACGACCGCCCCAGCAAGGCTGTCGACTGGCTCATGAAGAACGCCAAGGCCGCCATCGACGAGCTCGCCGAGCTTCCGCCTTGGAGCCCCTCCGCCACAGTCGCAGCCGCCCAGGCCGCCTCCTCCCGCCGCCACCCTCCGCCGTCCACTCAGCTCCCCTCCGCCGAGCAGACCATCGGGGAGTCCAGCAGCAAACCGGTTGCCGTAGCCGATCCAGCTCTTTCTACTGCTTTTAGTTTCGGCGTCGGCGGGGGCGACGGCGGCAACGAAGGTAATACCTTTCTTCCTCCTTCCTTGGACACCGACTCCATTGCCGACACTATCAAGTCCTTTTTCCCAATGGCTGCTGCTGCAACTCCGCCGTCTTCTAGCCCTTCCATCGGTTTCCTGTCCTACTCGCCGGAACTTCCGTCACGTACCAGTGGCCAAGCTCAAGACCTCCGCCTCTCCCTCCAATCCTTCCAAGACCCGATCTTTCACGACCCAGAATCCGGCCACCATCACCACCACCACCACAGCCAGTACCACCAGAGCCCAACTCCTTCTAGGCACGATGCGCATTTCCCGAGCTCCGCCCAGCTGGCCTCCGATGCGGCCGGCTGGGCCGAGCAGAGCCACCGGATTGCTCCGTGGAATATGGTGGACTCGAGTGGCGGCGGTGGGGGATACGTGTTCAGTTTCCCACCGCCTCAGGCGGCGCCGCTGCACTCTTTGCTCGGACAAAGCCTGTTCTTTTCTCAGAGGGGACCCCTTCAGTCCAGTAACTCGCCCGCGGTTCGTGCTTGGGCCGACCCTGTGGACGCCGCAGCCGACCACCGGATGCAACCTGCGCTTTATTCATCCATGCCATCCATCGGATTCGCATCCGGTGCCAGTTTCCCAGGGTTCCGCATCCCGGCACGGATCCAGGGCGAAGAGGAGCACGACGGCCACAACGACAAGCCGCCCTCTGCTGCCTCTGCTTCTCGCCACTGATGGAGTTTGTGGAGGAGCGATCACCACCAATCGGATACCTCCCCTGGTAATTCTCACTCCAACCATTTCATGGTCTTCTCGACTCGTATTCCTCAGAAACCGACGTAGCATCTGTTGTATTCTTAGGATTGCCTGGTCTGCTGAGGAGGAAGGTGATGGGAAGCAGCTGCATTGCCATATATACATGGAAAAGACATCTCCTTGGATTCTTTGGTTGGTCGGTGCCTCTCTTCTCTGTCATTTGGCTCTCTTTTCGATGGGCTTCCGAAGCCTTCTCGTGTGCTCTTCTTCTATCATGGTAAGTCTCAGTTTGCTATTGTAGTAGCGGTAGTAGTTGTAGTCGTCATTGCCGAGGTCGCTTATTGTTCGCTCTTCTCGGTGGTCTCATGTTTCCCTTATGGCCTTCAGCCGAAAGGGAACGCAAGTGAACTGTTGTCCTCTGGAAATGTCTGTGGAGATTTGTTCTGCTTCAGATTTAAGGAATAAAATATAAGTAGTCATCTGCTTGGATTGAGCCATGAAGGCAACATGTTGTTTTCATGCTGAGAAGCAGCAGGTGGATGGCTACTCTGATTGGAAATCATCGCTGGTCTTTCCTCCTCCCACTTTCTTGGATATATTATGTTTTGTATTGTGTGAAAGAGGTGCAGCAGTGGGCATTAGATGATGCTTCAACATCCTCAAACCAACCATGGAGATGGATTTAATAAGCACTTCAATGATTGCACATCAGATGCCCCCATCCGAGTTGAAGGTCTCTCTCTCTCTCTCTCTCTGTCTCTGAACAGATGCTGCTTTCTGTTCCAGCGAGTTTGTTTAAGTGGCCAAAGAACATAAAAGAATTAGAACAGCAGGAAAGATTAGAAGCATCCGCCATGTTCTCTCTCTCTC